GCAACCGAGGTGTGAACGGTGGATTAGTCAGCAGTGGGAAGGGAAAGAGGGAAGGAAGTTCTAGCAAGACACTACAAGAGACTTGGAGTGCCCGAAGCTTTTGACCAAGTGTTTTAAGAAGGAGGTGGACGCATGGACCCAAAAAGAAGAAGAGACATCGACGGCAGACGTTGGGAACGTAGAACTAGAAAAGGAGTTCACTGAGGACGAGGTTGAGGCGTGTGTGAACAAGCTGAAGTGCCACAAAGCAGCAGGAGCGGATGGGATAGTCAANAGACATCGAAGGCAGACGTTGGGAACGTAGAACTAGAAAAGGAGTTCACTGAGGACGAGGTTGAGGCGTGTGTGAACAAGCTGAAGTGCCACAAAGCAGCAAGAGCGGATGGGATAGTCAACGAGTTCATGAAGTTTTTGGGGCAGGGGATGATCCAGCTGATGGTACTGCTATACAATTGGGTGTGGAAAAACGAGTATACGCCAAGTAGATGGAGGGAAGGAGTGGTTGTGAACTTGTTCAAGAAAGGAGACAAGACTGACCCAGGAAACTACAGGGGGATCACACTGTTGAACACAGTAGGAAAAGTGTTCTGTAAGCTGCTGAACGATAGGATAGTGGGAGTATTGGAGAAGGAACATAGCATTAGTGAGGGCCAGGCAGGTTTCCGCAAGAAGAGGGGGTGCGTAGACCACGTGTTCACGGTAGGGAGAATCATCCAAGGTAGAAAGAGGGCGGGAAAGCCGACGTACTGCTTCTTCCTGGACGTGAAAAAGGCATACGACACCGTATGGAGAAATGGGTTGTGGAAACAACTGTCCAAATACGGGATCAAGGGGAAAATGTGGAGAGTGCTGAAGAAGATGACAGAGTGCACGAAAAGCGCGGTCATGCTAGACGGAGAACTGTCTAAATTCTTCGACATTGAGCAGGGGCTCCCACAAGGTTGCACGCTGTCCCCAACATTGTTCCAGGTGTTCATCAACGATCTGTTGGAAGTCGTAGAGGCAGTCCGGAAGGGAGTAAAAGTAGGGGACACGGAAACGTCGGTTTCAGGAATGCTGTTTGCGGATGATTTTGTCGGTATGTCGGACACCCCTGAGGGACTGCAACTGCAAATTGACGCGGCGAAGAAGTTTACTGATAAGTGGAGATTGTCTGCCAACGTTCAGAAGAGTGCCGTCATGGTTTGCAACGAGAACAAGGAGGAACCAGTAGAACATAGATGGAAGTGGGGGATCGAGGAGATTGCAGTAGTGGACCAGTACACATACCTCGGAGTAGAGATCGCAAAAGACTGCTCGTGGAATGCACACATGTCCAAGGTAGCGGAAAAGGGCAAAGCACGAGCAGGGAAGCTGCACCCAATACTCGCAAACCGGCACCTCGATACACGCATCAAATTGACGGTTTTGAAGAGCGTAATCGTACCGCCGCTAGAGTACGCCGGAGAAGTATGGGAAGGAAATAAGAAGGTAGTGAAAGAACTCGAGGCGGCGCAGATGAAAGCAGCGAAAACCATCCTAGGATGCTCCAGGCGCACAAGTAATGCAGCCGTGAGGGCAGAATTGGGGATCCAATCCCTACGGTCGGGAAGAGACGCGAGGAAGCTGACCTGGCAGTATCGCATGTGCGGGATGGGAGAGGAGAGGTTGCCGAGAATTGTATGGGAGGCGAAGTGGGCAAACAAAAAGAGGGGTAGACAACCCACGGAATGGGTCAAGGTTGTAGAGGACGTATGGAAGGGGCTCGACATCGACGAAGATGAAACGCTGGAAACGGAGGGTCTACAGGGGTTCAAGGAGAAGATATCTGTTGCTTGTGCCGAGAGAGAAGAACAGAATCTGAGGAAAGAATCCAAGGATAAGGAGGGTCTAGAAGTGTACGGAATGTTGAAGGAAGGAATAGGGTTCAAGGACTACCTACATGGACCAATGGATGCAGGAACAAAGCTTAAGGTCAAATTCAGGACCGGGGACATAGGCCTTCGAGAACGTCGACGAAGACATAGGACGGTAGACGAGGAAGACGACGAGTTCAAATGTGATTGCGGCTTCGAATGCGAAGACCGTGTTCATGTAGTCGCGGAATGTCCGTTGTACAAGAAGGAGAGGGAAGTGTACGTGACTGAGCTGGGAAAAATAGATGGAACGTACAGGGAGATGTTTGAGGCATGGAATAGAGAGGAAAGGACGGTAGCTGTACTGGGGCATAGGAGGTGGGTTGAAAAGGCGGGAAGGGATATCGTTAGGATAGACAGACTAGGGAAGACATTTTTGAGCCACCTTTGGCAAAGTAGAAAGGAACGATTGGCCATCGGTGATCGGTCCTGTGGGAACAATGCTCCGTCCTCTCGAGGACGCGTGGTCAATGGTCTAACCGCTAAGACATGCAAAACCTAAGAGTACGCCCGCTCCCCCCCGATCCGGAGTGGCCCTGCTCTCACCGAAGTTGAAGATGTCCAAGGTGTTGAGGAACCGCTGGTAGGAAGGGGGATACGGGATCTCCGCTAGGTGCGAAAACTGCGAGAAAGCACACATGACAAAACGAGGGTGCCACCAGCAGAACCAGCAACGCCATCAACATCAGAGAAGCAGAAAGAGCCTAAAGGCCACAAGAGCAGAAGGAGGAGGGGGAGGACGGAGACACGGAAAATGCGTAAAAAAACAAAAAAGTGGCCTCAATTCTCTCTCTCTCGCTCACACACACACATACACACACACACACACAGACACACACACACACACACCTGTGTCAGTATTTGCCAGACCACGACAAGAATCTTGAGCTTCTGGAAGGGCACCGCACGGAGGAGACACAGTCCGACCGTGCCCGCTGCGGCCCTCCTCGACGCTCGCGACGGCGCGAGGGTAGACCCGCTGGAAGAGGCCGTCACGGTCTTCGAACGACGCCCAAGGAGGCACGACGAAAGCTTGCCCTGCAGCTGTGAGTTATTCCGGAGGAGGTAGGGCAGTGTTGTCGCTGCTGGTGCTGGTGCGAATAATGTTGCTGCTGTTGTCGATGGCTGGTTGCCTACTTTGTCATCATTCAGATGGGATACTGTAAACACTTTATCGAAATAGCGAAACAAGCTATTGTCTTCGCCTGGTTGCTTAGTCCGGCATCATCACATGGGTAATACCCTTCATGGATATAGCGACAAATGTGTTGCGAATGAAACCCCGACATCGTACCAACTACGCTGTACAGCGGTGACCTCATCACCAGGCGGCGTTCGGGTTTGTTACACGGTTTTCAAGGGTGTGCGGGAAAACAACGAACTGATCAACGCGACACGCACTGAACTATCGCAACGAAAGAGGGGAAGCGCAACACAGTATCGCCCGCGTTGCACACGTCCGATTGCAGCGGCCACGCAAGACTCCAGTACAACATTTGACACCTGCACCAACAATAACAGCAACAATAACAACAACGGCACTTGCCCGCGACACGGCGGTGAGGCCACCAATCAAAAACACCGCCAGGGCCATCACCACCACCAGGGACACCACCCCCAGCACCCAGAAGGTCGCTCGCGCCCCAGAACTCCACACCCCGCCGCACGAGACGCACAGCTGCCCCCCCGAGAACCTCCGGTACCTAAAACAGCAACAGACAGTATTCGGAGGTGCGACTAGGTGTGTGATGGGTTGGTGCCGTATAGGTTAGTGGGCATTTGTTAACGACGGTTGTATGAAATATTGTTGTGGATGCAAAGGGGTGCCGAGAACCGCGGGTACCTGCCATGGTATTCGCAGGTAGCCGCGTGATGGGTGTTTCCGTATGGGTAGTGGGCATATTGTCAAGTACGTGTTATGTATTGACGTCATCGTACGGATGCAGGAGTTTGATGCGTACCGCTTTCTTTTGCTCGATGTGCCTCCCGCGTGTGATTCAGCTGGTTTCTGGTTATCTGTACGTTGAAACCGTTCCGGTCTCCGCTCTGTCGCCTTTTGATATCCGGGACGCCTTCCGTGGTCACAGGCGAACAACCCAGCAAGGGTTCAGCACCTTTCTAGCAATAGAAAAACGGAAAATATAAAAAATAAGGACACAAAATGTTCTCCAAACGCGAGAACAGCACATCACAAGAACAAACCCGGAGACGAGCGAATCCGGCAAAAAGTGGAGATGAAAACAAAATCTACATTTACGCACCCGTCCGCGCACACGGCGCAGTAGGCGCCCCTGTGTCCCTTTATGCAGTAGCGAGTGTCCTCGTACTCAAAGCTGCTGGCGGTGGCGGTGACATCGGCGGTGGTGTTGGAAGCGGTGGTGGTGACTGTTGCGGTGAAAACCGAGTTCCAGGAAGAGGAAGAGGAAGAAGAGGACGACGAGGAGGAGGAAGTGATGACGCCCGTGCCCCCGGCGCAGGCGCTCGGGTTCCAGCACTTGCGGATGTAGGTCTGGGTGATGTCACCCCTCCAGTAGCCTGGGTGTTGAAGACGCGAAGAAATATGCGGGCAGCGGGGGGGATTGAGGCATGGGTGTGTGTTGACAAAGTCGAGGCAAAGAGGAGGGGGGGGACTGCAACACGTGGGTTTGGGGGGTCTCGAGTTCCTGAACGGTTGCTGTTGTTGTTGTTGTTGTTGTTGTTGTTGTTGTTGTTGTCTTCACATTCAAAACCGTTCCGATCTCTCTCTACCCAGTACCTTCGTATGTCCGTACTGATCCAACACTCGACGCGGTCGATTCCCGTGGTCACAGGATAACTTACCCGAAAAAGGTACACTCAAATAAATAGCCCCGAGAGGTCCGCAAGTCAATACGGTGGCATACGGCGGTGCTTCGAATTTTGTAGAGAAGACTGGTCTCTCTCTGCGTGTTTGAAGCGCACTCCTTGTGAACTTTCGACGTCAAACTTGTCTGGTTGTTCCTAAGTCTATCATCAAAAGAGCAATCACAACTGCTGTCATTCATGCTAATCTCCCAGACAAAGACACTCAAGCGGAGCCTGGTCATTCTTCGCAAGGAACATCCCAAGGGCTTACAAGCAGCAGCAGCAGCAGCAGCAGCACTGCGAGGTCCTTCCCCTTCGCCTCCCTCGCGAAGAGTTGGCGAAAAACAAAATATTCGAAAGCATTCAGTTCTCCTTGTGTGTACCACAAAACGCATACAGGCCGTACCGAGACTGACGTCTTTCATTGGTCAGCAGCCTACTATTACGAAGTACATAATATATCATGTAATACAATACAATCGCGCGGTCGATGCGGACAATAAAAAAACACACACATCAAAAGAAGAGCACATTCGATGAACAAAACAATAACAAAAAAAACACACACATACACACACACAAAAAAAGGACAAACTCTTCCCACCTTCCGCCAGGGGGAGCGTGTCCAGCGTTATGCCCGGGGCCGAGCAATCGAGCGAGCCCTCCCCGTCGGCCATCGTTGCCATCGCCTGCGCGCAGGTGACGCAGGTCTCCCCGTCCCAGTACGACCCCGCGGCGCAGTAGTAGAAAGTCCGCTCCACCCCGGCCGCGACGGAGGCCGCCGCCGAATCCGCCGCCGCCGTCCGCGTGACTACTCGGAACTCGGCTGCCACCTCCCCGTTGTACACGGCGAACACGGCGGACGGGTCCGGCGGCGGCGGCGGCGTGCCCACCAGCTGGATGGTGACCTCCTGCCCCCGGACAAGGTAGCCGGACCAGGGCACCGCGGTCCAGGTGAAGTAGTCCGGCGCCGCGCCCTCGAAGGCTCCGGTCTCGTCGTCGGCGGCTTGGGCGCCGCCGTCGCCGTCGGTCCGCTGGAGCCTCCACAGCACGCCCACCTGGCTCCCTGCCGCCGCCGCCGCCTCTTCTTCTTCCGACGAGGAGTACCGCAAAACGAGCTCGTGGGTTACCAGATCCGGGTAGTAGACCTCCGCTGTCGCGAGGGAGGAGGAGGAGGAGGAGGCGGAGAAGGAGGAGGAGGATGTCGAACCGGCAGAGCTGGAGGAGACGAGCTCCACTGTCGAAAAGCCCACGCCGTCGTTCTCGTCCTCGACGTCGGCGAGAGAGACCAATCCGCCGGTGGCGTCCTCTGTGAACGACGGGCACAGGACCCCCATCCCGTTCTCCGCGTCCACGCACTCCTCCGCCACCGAGCACGAGAGCTCCTCCGGCAGGGAGGAGCAGCCGTGCGCGCCGACCCCCAGCAGCGACGACGCGTTGAACCCCGCGTGCCCAAAGTTCTGGTCCCCTAGGACGGCGTTCCTGATCGTCACCGCCCGGGACGCCCGGACCAGGGTCGGCGTGCCGCTGCCGCTGAAGTCGCACACGTCCAAGACCATCTCCCCCTCGCTCAGGACGCTCGGCGAGTCCCCGTCCCAGCCTTCGAAGACGCACGCGAACGCCCGGAACGCCGAGCCGGAGTCCACGTGCAGCGCGAAGGTCGCCTCGAGCTCCTCGGGCGCGACCGCGGTAACGTTGACGGCCCGCGCGTCCGCCCCGGCGAAGAAGAGGTTCGCGCCTGAGGGGGTGTGATCGCCCGCGAGGCGGAGGTCCGTGAGGTTGGCGACGCTGCTGCTGACGTAGATGGTCCCGCCGGACGCCGCCGAGTTGTTCCAGGACTCCCCGCCGCCGCTCCACGAGACGTTGCTCTCGCCGATGCCGAACAGAACGCCTCCGCGCTCCGACGCGCTGTTGGAGCTCGCCAGCCCTCCCTCCAGCCACACCCCGCCCCCGTCGACGGCGATGACGCCCCCGTCGTACCCCGCCGTGTTACCGACCCAGGATGCCCCGGGCAACTCGTCCCCCCCCGCGGCTGCGGTTGCGTCTCGGACGACGGCGACGTCGCCGTTCACCACGTAGATGCCGCCGCCGCTCCGCCTGGCCGCGTTGTCGGTGAACTCGACGCCTCCGGTCAGCCGCAAGCCCAGGCCGTCGTCCTCCCGGGAGTCGATCACGCACACCGCGCCGCCCCACCGGTCCGCCGTGTTGCCGACGAAAGAGGCGTTGCCAGAGATGGAAACCCCGCCCTCTTCGATGTACAGGCCGCCCGCCCGCTTGCCATGGTTCCCTCGGAAGGAGACGCTCCCGGCGATGGAGGCTTTGCACCCGACGACGTACATCCCGCCCCCGTACTCCGTGACCGCGTTGCCGGAGAAGTCCATCGTGGCGCCCTCAGCCAGAGAGAGACAGGTGTCAATCACGTCCTCGTCCAAATCTATCTGGAGAGTGAGCCCCCCGCCGCTATCCCCCGAAAAGTTGTCGGTGAAGACCAGGGCTGCCCCGTCCCCGTCCACGCTCAACGTCGTAGACTTCGCGAACATCCCGCCCCCGTCCTCTATCGGGGAAGAGTTTTCCCGAAAGGTGACGGTCGTCCCCGCGCCGACCGACATGGCGGAGTCGTAGGCGCAAACGCCTCCGCCCTTATTCCCGCTCGAACTGCCCGAGGCGCACGCCTGGAACTCCAAGGAGGCCGAGTCGCCGACATCGACAACCGAGTCTTTCTTCATGTACAAGCCTCCCCCCTTGTCCCCGGCGCTACACTCCCTGAACCGAGTCCTGCCGTTGCTGGAGATGGTAAGGTTCGACGCGGAGAGCTCGACGCCACCGCCGACCCCATCCGATGAGTTAAGCGCCCTGCAGCCCTCGAAGTACACCTGGGCTCCATCGCCGAACAGACCGTAGGCGTCCTGCAGGAACACCGCCCCGCCCCCGAGCGTTCCCGAAGAGCAGTTGTGGAAGTGGTGCAGGCCCTTGAGGGTAACGGTCCCGCCGTCCTGGGCGTAGATGGCGCCGCCGGCGCCCTCCACCGACAGCGAATCCCATCGCACGTCCGTCCCGGTGACCTCCCCGCCGACCAAGCTGACGGCCCTGCCCCCGTCCTCGCCGCCCCAGGCACCCGACAAGACGACATCGGACAGGTGCAGCGCGCCTCCTGCCTGCACGACGAACAGCCCGCCGCCGCCGCCGCCGCTGCTGCTGATCACCGAGGGCTCGGAGTCTCCCCATCCGGCGGCGGCGGCCGTGTTAGCGATCGCGGTCTCCAGCTCGTCGTCGAGGTCGAGGTCTTGGCCGCTGCTGTCGCTGCTCTGGTTGTACCAACCGTTGCCAGCAACCCGAAGCTCGACGCCCCCAGGAACCAAGAACGGTTCTGAGGTTTGAATGCCGCTGCTGTTCCAGTGGACGGTGACTACTACGCTGCTGGAGTTGGCCGCGGTCGTCGCGCAGACGCCTGCTTCCAGCAGCGCTGCTGTGACATCGTCCGGGCCAGAGGATTCGTCCGCTACGACAATGGGCTCCGAGGTGTCCGCCCCACAAGACGACAGCGAGCTCTGCTGCAGGCGCCGCCATTGTTCATGCGCTCCAGCTTCACGAAGAACACTTGCCGCGAATATGATAATCCCACATCCGATACTAGCCCTCTTGCTTCTCATCTAGGAACGTACCAACCACGCCTGACTGGAGGCCCGGGTTCACCTCTTGCACGTAGGCCACCCAGAGAAAGCTTCGCCTAATAGCAGCAGCAGTTGCACGTCTCGCGGGACCGTCCGCCACCTCGAGCAAACAGCAAATTGTTGTGTGCGGAGGAGTATCGGGATCTTCACGAAAATCTTCGACACTTGGGTTGGCGGCCAGGTAATCCCTCTCGCCGCTCCGTTGTGCACAGCTTGTCCGGCCCGAAACGGCAGCACGAGCAAACAGCCGAAAAAGTTGGTTCCTAGACCTCCTTAGGTCCGTCTGTCCAACGTGTGAGTGTCGTACCTCCTTCGGCCTACGGCGGATAGCAAGCAAAAGTTGCAGGTGATTGCCTAGGGGGTGCAGGTGTTGTTCACAATCAATGGTATATGACAATTAAAAATACAGACTTGGATGCTGACAGAGGAGCGCAGAGCTACGCGAGCCTACCCGTTGGTTTTGAATTGTTGTTGTTGTTTTTCTTCACATTTGAAGGTATGCAGGCGTACATGGAGCAACCCGGGTACATTTTTGGCCCCTTGTCCACCCCACTTTTTCATCACGCCCCTGCGCGACGACCGCGCGGGGGCGAAGCTGCGCCCTTCGCTAGGCGGGACCACATCATCACAAGGGAAGTTATTTGCCAGGACAGCGCGGGATTTATTCACGGCGAGTCGTTGTGTCATGACCTCGTGAGGGCAAGACCCCGTGGTAGGTGCGAGCCGAAATCCGACTATCCCGCACGTCACAGGCGGGTCTGTCTCGCTGGAGTGGGGGCACTTCCTGCCGTCGCGTTTGCCGTCTGTACATGTCTTAGGCTCTCTTGGGAAGAAATCCGTTGGAACATGGTCTCGTTTACGCAGATTGCTCGCCAAAAATGCGGACCATAATCTAACCTTCCAGCGGGAGACCCTCTCCCAGAGGCAGCAGCTGCAGCAGCGTTTGTTTGTTCTTGTTATTAAAACACAAAATGCGTGCGCATGTTTTTCGCCTCGGATGAAAGTGGGGCGTGCGCAACGCCAGAACACGCCGATGACGACCTGGATGGGCAAAATAAACTAAGTGCCCTCTGTCCCTCTACTCTTAACTTTGATGCTGTGGTGCGACCGCGAGTCTTCGTGCCAGTATGATGAGGGTTACTGTTCTCCCGTATCTTGAACCCTGAAGGTGAGATGCATGTACGCGCATGAGCGCATCTTCACAGGTGTAGTTGGACTCTGTCACACGCATGTACGGATGTACGTGCATGGCAGTGTTCTTTAGCGGTTCGTGAACGCGTGAGCCCTGCCGACCACGGATTCTAACCTTCAATCATACGCCGTAATGTCAGCTGTAGTAGTTAGGCTCGGAGACACTGCCGATCAGGGAAGATGACAACATAAATGACACACACATGTGTCACACATTGCACTCCTGATCCGGTAGATGTTGTTGTTGTTGTTGTTGTTGTTGTTTCTCACATTAGCTCTAAAAAAAAAGAAAAATTGGGAGTCCGTGGTCTCAAAACCCGGCATACACGACCCCCCGAAGAAACAGAAAAAAAGTGTAAGATTGAACGAAGGAAATCTGGGGTTTGTGGCGCGGGACTGAATCGTACAGTGGCAAGTAAACAAGAATTAGCGGGGAAGTTTCTGAGGAGGAAAGGGTACCAGAAGAGAGATGTGGTGACGTGGTGGAGTACACTTGTTCGCAGAAGTAGCAAGCTACAGGAAGAGGGCACACTGCAGCTGCTCCTGTGAGACGAAACGGGGAGCTGCTGTAGAGGTTACCGCGGTCTACTTTAGACACAAGGCTT